TGCTATTAAAATTTTTTCCAACTTGCATTTTTAATTATAACTTCTGTCAAATTTAAAAAAATGATATATATATACACATAAGTTCTTCTTTTTGCCAATTGTCAAAATAAATGGCTCTTACTTATATTTCTTAATACTATAAATATATACTATGTTATTGTTTGGCTTAGGATTCTTCTACAGTAGCTGTCTGTGACTTGTTAACGATATATTCAATGATGAATAAACAACATACACTTGACTTGTTTTCAAATAATATATATCTATTCAGAACAAATTAAACGTATGTATAACAAAGTCTTCACACTCTAGAGATTACAGGCATATCATAAACACTATTTATATATAGTTCTTCTTGTCAAAAGTCCACTTAGGCCTAAATTACTATAGAATTTCAGTTGACAATCGAACTATCTTCTCTATATTACTATCGTACTAGTATTCTGTGTGTGATTCACTTACAGTTGTGGTGTAAGTTACCATAATTTGTTGGTCTTCTTTCTTCTGAAGATCCTCTGTTCCTTTTGTCAAAGTGTACCTATGCTGATTCAATTACTTTAGAACCACGCTTTGATGGAAGAAAATTATCCTTCTTATCTTTTTTATACTGTTAGTTTCACTGTGACATATTAAACGTTAGGCCTATCACCCTTGCGGTACTTAAATTCACACAACTATATTCTCCTTTTTCTATTATCTGTCACTTGTTGTCTTCGTGCTTGTCTCACACTATTTATGTCTTTATTACATAGTCATCTGGCCACTTTCTATATTCTTGACACCAATTAGTTATTAACAAAATCTTCTACAATCGTCTGCTTTTAACTATTATTATAACAAAACTTTAATTTAATAAAATATTCACTCGCAAATATAAATCAATCACTAATATTTAAACCAAACAGTCTTTTATAATTTGACAACTTTTTAAATTAATAACCCTTAAATAATTTTAGAGAAACGTCTGCGGTAACTCAAGGATAAACCTACCACAGTTACCTAATCTCTGTAACAATTTGAGATTTGAGAACCTAAATACACAGAAGGGCAGACACAATAACTTGTAGAGATGAATTGAAAATATACAAGACTTGGTGTGAAGGTCCCATGAAAAAAACTATTCATCTGCTAATGAAAACAGAAAAGCAGCTGATTGTATGGGTGGAAAGGACTATTTCATTGACATAAGTTTGCTTTAAAAGTGAAACAAACTGTATTTAAAAAGGATGTGAAAAGGACTCCTATTATCAGAAAAAAAAAGTAATAAATAAAAGGTGAAAACACAGATGAAACTTCAACAGAAAGTACTGACTCTTCAAAACACAAAATAATCTGCCTGAAAGTGACAAACTGCATTCATGATTCACCTTCTCTCTGTAGCTCAATCTGTAAAATGGATCACAAGAATCTGGAAGTATCTGTGCTCCATATGAGTCATAAAGCAATAACCTATACACAAGATAAATTAGAAAAAAATTACTATCTGATGAAACAGTAGATAGCTTTCAAGAGTGAAAGTAATACTTCAAGCTGAACTTAGCACAACTTCAATTGGATTCAGTTTGTCCTAACTTAAAACCCAGAAGAAAATTAAAATTTGTGGATATGAAATATATATTAAGAGAAAGCATGATAGTAGCATTTGCTTACCATCAAAGTCACTTAAAGGACATTTGCAAAATTAAGAGCAGCATTAAGTTTAGAAAGAAGTTCCACATTCTGATGGCTCTAAACTTCCTAAAATTTCTACTAGAAAGACAAGAAAAACCAATTTTCAAAGTTTTCAGATTAAAAGAAATCATCCATCATAACATGGATGTACATTTCCTTTATAGACAGTATTATTAAAGGTCAATGAAACAGAAAAAACAAGATTCTGAGAATTGTAGAAGTCACAGACAGCACTGAACAAGCACTACCAATTATACTGGAAATCATAAAACATCTCAACTAGTTGCAGCAGTAATCTTGAAGGTGAAATTATGTATTTCTTTCATAATTATGATTTATTAATCTAGAGAATATATATATGAAACACCTTATGAAATGCCTTATTTTTTATTTATCTTTAACAGTAGTTGTTTATTTGTTGAATTTTGCACTAAGCTTTTTGAGAGGTGTCTGAGTTTGCCATTCCTAATTTTGAACGGATTGACCAGAAGGAAGGCAACAAGTCAACACCACCCACCGTTAACTCTAGGGCTACTCTTTACTAATGGATACTGGGAATGACCACACATTATAATGCCCTCACAGCTGAAAAGTCAACCATGTTTGGTGACAAGGTTTGATCCTGCCCCCTATAGATTATGAGTCAAGTGCCTTAACTCTTTCAGCATGGGCTCACTCCCTGGGACCGACCTCATAAACATTTTGTGCTTGTTACAGTTTTCATGTTTTAACATTTAAATTAGTAAGCGTATGTTAACGAAATTTGGCAGATTATCAGTAAGCATTACAATGCTTTCATAAGCAAAATATAATTTTTTTTTATTAGGTCTTAATATTTCTTAAGCAATGTTTTTCTCATGCCTTTTTTTTATTTTCACATGTTGCCTATCCAACATGCAAAGTAATTTTCATTTTAATATTAGAAATACTTTTATGCATCAGGAAACTTTAAAATTTCACGTGCAAAATCTTTATAACATTTAAATGGTTATCAAACTTTTCTTAATAAAAAACTTTATATTTTATTTATTATTTTCACTAATGAATCTCTGCACGGGTTCAGTCAATTTGTCTGATCTCGTAACCACCCTAAAAAATTAGGAAATAAATATAAACATTTAGATTAAATAGCTTAAATCTCATAACATTATACAATTATATATATTTATTATTTTTATTATATTGACGTTTCAGCCATGCTTGGCTAATAATACAGAAGTTACAATGACACGACACATGTGTACTCATGTTACCATATCC